TTGGAAAAGGTCTTTCAGTTAATCTTTCAGAATCAGTATCAGAATATCAGAATTTTAGAATCAATATCTGAAATATTTGCATCATTTCTGCTATTTCATGCTCTGTTAAAAATTTTCGACGCTTCGACATTGCAATGGTAAAAACAAAGAATTCACGTCTAACAAGATCTAATTATTTTCTAAAAACTGAACTGCAAACCGAAATACCCAACGCTTAGAGCAAATAAAACTTCTCTACTTACAGTAAAAATACCACGTGCGAATAAAGTGCGATTTAAAGAGACGTCGTAAATCACGCCATTCGGAAACATTTATTTTCCCGTTGTTTATATAATCAAAAACACGGTATGTGAGTCATGCTTCTCTCATTTCGAGTAGAAGGTCTAATTTACATGTATCTGAAACCATATGGACATACAGTGCCATTTTGTGGCAGAAATTATAGTTTGAAAAACGTTCCAAAGTACTGGCACAAATACGTGACAGTCGGTAGAGAATGCAACAATCCTCTGGCACACCTGCGTGTCGGCCGGTAGGTAAGTGTGTTCGTTGCTGGCACGTATACGTGACAGTCGGCGCGAAGGAGTTAACCTATACAATGGTTTCTGTCGGCCAAACAACGTACGAACGGTAAAAGCCGCTGAACCCTGGCAGTTCGGCCCGGTGTTCGATTCACGCCTGGCTAGATGGGCATTTTCGTACTATTCCACATATGTAATGTGGATAACGAGCCAGATTTCCTTAAAATGCCTTCCAAGGGGAATCCCTCCTTTTCAGTGCAGAGCTTACTGGCAGAGCACGTAATAAAATTTTTAAATTAATTAATAAATAAATAGTCTCTCCCCCCTTTACCTATTTTCGATTCTGCTCTCAAGAAATTCACAACATTGAATGCCTAGACAGAACTGTAACTAAAGTTTTCAGTGCCCGGAGAGAACTGAATATTTCGCATCCTCTCTTCTTTGCCAAGAATGGGAAACATTTAATACTAAAAATTCCCGGATGCTATGCCTGGGAACAAATGTCCTCCCCTTGGACGCTCTAGCTACGTCACTCTGCCTAGAGTGGCTTATTTTCTAACTAGCTTATTACAACTCATAAGGCTAAATAGGCATATCCATAATAACATTGCTGGCGACCTCTGATATTGCACTGGGCTGTGATTTACTACATCTTCATCCTCCGATCGCCTGAATTAGCCTAAATAATTTTCGGTGCATATTAAATACCCAAAACAGTCTCCACTTCAATTTAGCAAGAATAATATGCATGCAGTATAGCATATTCATGAAATTTTTAGGTATTTTATGCTATGATAACTAGAACAGTGGGTTACAGCCGAAAACATTCCGGCAAAAACATCGCGGACGAAAACGTCGCGGAGAAAACAACGCAAGGCGAAAACGTCGTGATACAAAACATCGTGGGATAAAACATCGCAGTTCTAAAACATCGTGGTACAAAACATCGTCGTCGAAAATAAAGCGGTTCAAAAACTTCGCAATTTAAAAACATCGTCGTCGAAAATATCGTGGTAAAAAATAAAGTATCTACAATCATCGCTTGACGATAACATCGCAGACATGCTTTTTTCATACATGCTTTTCGCAAACATGCGTTAATAACTGTAAATGGATATTCCCATAATGATTTGTGAGCGCAAAATGGAAAGAGGATAATTTTTACTTTCACATTTTTTATTAACTAATAAATTTTTTGTGAAAAGTAAGAAGGAAACTTAAGCATAGCAAATTAATGCAACTTATAGCAATTAATAGAATTTTAAACCGACATAGTTAACTAACAAAGGCCATTAATAAATAATTTTTTATAAAGTTTTTACTGGTAATTTTTTGTGAAAAGTTTAATCTATAAGTTGCATTTAATTTTCTGCAATTAATTTAATTCTAATTATTTTTCATAATTCAATGCTGCAAAGAGTGTGGTACTGCAATTCACAGCAGCTTCCCAAAATACTCATTTTTGACATTTAATATTCTTGTATCACTCTGTAAATTTAATTGCTTTTTTGTATCATTGCTGCTTATGCGGACTAAATTTTATGCAATTTTCTTGAACCCTTGTTGCTGCTGAAATTTTCAAAGAGTATATTTAGTTTCTAATTTTACTATAACGTTTTAGCATATCAGAAAAAAATTGTGGTTTTCATTAGGTATTTTCTGACCATACAAATAAAAATCAGAAAGTATTGCCTATCGATAAAATATCTAAGATCTTTCTTATTATGAAAGTTCATTCCATTGCTTGTTATTGTGAATTATTTTAAAAATATTTCTTAATATAATTTTATAAATAGAATTATAGCATTAGTAGAATATATAAAACAGATATTTTAATACTGTATAATATATCTAATGCAAAATATAAATCTGCTCTGCTACTATCATCTGCATACAAATAACACCTAATGAAATTTTGTCATAACACACAGATTGAAATCTTTTCTCTTTCTCTCTCTCTCACACACACATACATTTAAAAAAAATTATAAAAATAATTTCTTTATGCAGGAATGTACTTTCTTAACTTTTGATATTTACCTATTTATTACATTATTTTCTATTTGAAAACGATATCCACAAATTCGTGCTCAAACTTACAAAACAGAAATTCTTTTCAATTCCGTTTAGCCATTTCCGGCACACCAAAAATATTCCCCCTTTAGACACTGAAAATAATCGATAAATATCACTAAAACTACACTAATGGTTACTTTTAATCTCTTTTATGAATAATAGATGGCAGCACCACACAAGCAAATCATCAACGTTTAGATATATTCGGTTTTTAAAGACACTGATTTATCAAAGAAATGTTTAATAAAGTAAACAAATAATATTAAGCTTTTTTTGTAACCCTTTCGATCATAATTGCTTTTTATTTCATAAATTACGGTTTCATATTTTTAATTGTGTAATTTCTGCTTGCCATCTTACCAGATTTAAATTAATGATCTATATTCCGGAAAAACCCCTAATCCGGAATCGCCGAAGTCCCGACGAGTCCGGATTATGGACTTTGTACTGTATTTGTTTTTATTCTTTTCTGTTTCTGGTTCTGAAGACCCCTGTGCTTTGTTTTCACTTAGCTATTTGATTTTTAGTGAGAGCAGACCCTTTATTTCTCTTGCTTTCATCGTGCGTAGTTTGCTTAGTTTCAATTTCTGTAGATTTTTATTTGTATATATATTTAATAATTAATTGTAAATATTATAGTATTTTAATTATTTTTCTTATAACTTTTAAAATTATGTAAATGGCTCGGAGAGGCCTCAGCATTGCCGAAGCAATGAGAGTTTTCTTTCCCCCCCCAGTTTTTTTTTGAGGGGGTGTAGAGTAGCAGTCCTGCCCGTAGTGCATCTTCGGTTATGCTAAATCTGCTACAGAGATCAGATTCTACTGTTTTTAAATCATAGACAAAGTATTTTACTGTAATACGTGCTTCACAGCAATGCTCACCTATCGCAGCTCGTGCGGCTCAGTGTGTTCGCTTCGGACATACCCTCAAAATGGAAACGGTTTGTGCAATCTTTGTAAAATTATATCTGCCTACTCTCCTACACCTAAATAGACTGCCTACAAATTTTTTTGGTAAAATTCCAACTTTAAAGAGTAGCATGCAAGAAAGGGTTAATCAGCAATGATTTAATTTTATCAGTCAGCAACATTAGGTAAACTTTTTTATTTAATGTAAAATCTATGAGTAATTAGATTTATTTATTTAAGATGTTAAGCACCAAACCTATTTACCTGCCAGCATACGGATTTCAAAAATATGTTTGTGGCCAAAGATTTAAGTTGAATTTGGTAGACGAATATAATTTTCAAATTATATCCGTCTCCATTTCAGGCACTCGCCCAACCAGATCATAAAAATTGACTGATTAATGAAATAAAAGACTTGTTTAAAAAAGCTAAATTACACTAGGTAAAAGTACAGAGAGGAATTGTCGGAAATGAAAGGACGAACACTCTTGCTAAAATGGCGGCACTTGGGGATGTAATCGATAATTTTGATATCCAAGATTCAAGAAAAATTACCATTGCTGAAATGGAAAACTAGATTTAAACAGAACGGAATTTTGGCTGGGAGTCACCTAATAAAAAAAAATTATGAAAATATTATATATATAATACAAGTTAAACAAGAAGATGAATATTATAAATAATCAGGTACTAACTGGTCATGGGCATTTCCCGGCTTATTTTAATGAGTTCCATCTACAGAATAATTACAAATACTCAATATGTGATAGGTTTGGAGATGCCAGGCACTTTGTTGATGAATGTACGCTTACTCGGAATGCAAGAGAGTTAAGCAAGATTTTAAAAGGAGCTATTCAAATTTGAAAGATTTTCCAAAGACAATAATGAAGATTATAAATACGAACAAAGACAACTGGAATTCGGCACCGAGATTCAGATTTCGGACTTTGAAAGTTTTTCTTATATTTGTATTTTTTTGGCCAGTCCCATTTTTTTTTTTTTTTTTTTTATCATACAGCCGGCTTGTGCTGGCTAGGAGGATCGAAGGGGGGGGGGGGGGGGGCTGTGCCCTTTTAATGATAATAATAATTTTCAAAATTGCATATTGTCATTCAACAATGGCTTGAATAAAAAATCAGTCACCAATGACTGTTGCACTTTGAACAGGAAGCATAGTGTCAGTCATCAGTGACACACACGGTCTGAACACAAAGTAGTGAATGACATGGTACTTAATATGTTAATGGTAAAATCTTTTTTGCTGTGTTTGGTTTATCTGAAGGATCATTGATTTTGAGGAATTTGCTAACCAAGCAAAAACAACTTTGTTTTAATTGCAATTAAAAAATTTTAATTAATTATAAAGACTTTTTTTCAGTGCAGATAACTTCTACAATTAATAAAAACAAAATACATAATACAGGGGAAAAAGGGACTTTCACATAGAATTTAATTTTGTAAGTTCACTACAGTTAAAAGAAATGATAAACTGACTTTTTTTACAGATATTAATATTTTTAATACCCATGGTCATTTTTTATATCTAACATTTTTAAAAATAAGTATGACATCTTCCTGACTACTATGACATGGTAAACATTTTTCCTGAATAGAAAATAAAAAATAAATAAGAAATTAGAAGAGAACATGGTTTGTTTATAAGCTTTACCAGTATATCTAAAACTAGTACATAAATCTTTAAAAAATACACACTTTATGCCTACATTTAGTTTTTCTAAAAATTTAAATAATTAAATGAACTTTGTTTATCCTTCAGATGACAATATACACTAATTCATAATACAAAGTTCCTACACAAAATTATCTTAATTTTTGCATTTTTGTAAATTATTATTCAGTCAGAAGTATGATCTTTGAATACATTTAAGAGAATAATTTCTGTATCACTTAAAAAGCACAGCAAGATATTTTGTTTTAAATAAGAGCATAAAAATATCCAAACATTAAACAGCCATGTCCTTCACAGGGTCAATTAATTTCAAAATATATGAAAGTGATGTCATAAACAGAGACTCAGAAATATAAAATTATTTCATAAAATTCTGCCTCACTGTTAACTCATAAATTATTAAATTACAAGTTAACATTAATAATAAGATTCAATTAATACTAAAAAACTAATTACATTAACTTCCTGCTATAAAAAAATAAATACAAAGAATTATATACATTATAATACATACCAAATACAATATTCACATGGTCATAGCTATAAAATATACAATATTAGTCTTCATTTTCTTAAAAAATTGAAATTCAGAAAAAATTTAGTTTTCACAAATTTATTAAAGCGTGAAATATATGTCAAATTAAATGTAAAAAAATTAGTCATCTTTTTTTTCACTCCTTAAAAATTATATAAAAATACTCATATTTACATATACTTATGATTACAATATGGTATGCAATAAAACAAAACAAAACAAAAAAAAATAATAATGAGAAAAACATCTTTTCGACCCCCCTGGCAAATCATTATCTTAAATAAATAATTAAAAAAATCACCATATAATAAACATCCATTTAAATTTGTTTCAATGTTCAGGAATGTAAAAGAAGACAGTCTTTCTCTTATAAGTACAAAACTTCACAGACCAAAAAGTTCATAAAAAAAGGAAGACATGATGAAAAAAATATTACATGCTGAGTTCTGCTGACCAAATTATTTATAAAACATGTATCACATTTAAAACACCAATTCAGTTTGTCACCGAAATTCAAATTCAGGTAACTGGTGGTATATGCAGTCATTTTGTTAATTCATGAAAGTGAAACCAAAAATCATCTCTTGTCCGATAAGAGAGGCGAAATTTCAGTTTTCCTCTCCTCATACTCTGATTCTGAAGATGAGCCTTCAATCACAGGAGGCAACTGGGCAGAGGGAAGTTTCCGTTCATTGCTGTTCCAGATACCATAGCCAAAGTAAATACTTAAACCTGTCAAAAAGTAAATGTTACCTTACAGTTATTACACAGAACTGTAAAACCATAAAATTAATATAATGAAAAAAGCTAAAAATTAATTTCATGTATTTTAACACAAAAGGAACAAGATCAAAATACTGTCAAACACTTAAAATGCGAAAGACTTACTTTGATCAAATTTTACAAGTACACAGATATGCAACAGGGGAAAAAATATCGAAACTTAAATGATTTTAATAACATTTTGGAAAATATATTCAAAATATCTGATGTAGACAATACATGACTTCCTTTTATGGCGTATTAAATTATATACATTTTTTTGCAGCATTTCATTTAAACTTATTTCCTTGAATTTCATTAGTGATATATTTTTCATTCAATCAATTCAGTTCTCATTTCGTGGCAAGGCAAAAATACATAAAACCTCAAAATGGATTCATTAGAAATTGTAAAATACAGGAAAACCTAAAGCACCACATAAAGTTAGTAAAATTTTTTAGAAACATTTTTAAAATTAAAGCTTCTACACTAAAACAAGCAATTTGGCGAATGGGCAAGAAGACCAAATTTCGATGCACAATACTGAAGTCGAGCAAAAAAATACTGAAGCCGCTGCACCGAATTAATTCACTATACTAAAAACAGTTTCAAGGATAAAAAAACCGCTGCCATGTTAGGCTTAGTCGTCACTTAAACTCATAAAATGTGGATAATTCTACAATTACTGCATGCAAATTAACTAAATGCATAAAAACTCGAACTCGAACGTATGTACAATATAATTCAACCTCTTTTAGAGCAAAAATTGCACATTTTAGCAACATATAAGAATAAAAATACTGAGCTTACCAAGCTCGGTATATGTATGTATATGTTTATGCAGTTGATTGCAATGAAAAAGGGAAGTGCACAACTACATGTTATAGAAGTATCATATATAAAATTTCAATGATCTACGGCTACCTATTTTTTGAGCTGTCTCTTCTGAATGCATTTTACAATTTGTTTTGGGAAGAGTCCTTTATTCTGTCCATATGTACAGATGTCAAGCAAAAAAAAAAAAAAAAAGGCTTCAAGAGAAATCAAAATGGATATTTTTGTTGAAATATGATAAAATTTTTCTACTACATACAAGAAAGTAAAAAGGCACCAAATATTGTTTATTATACAGTTGTGTAACAATATGCTGTGTGTACAGCTTTTGATAAATTTTATTCCTTCATCACATTTGGTTTGGTTTATTTGATTATGGCAAAGAATGCTAGTGCTGTCTGCCCAAAGGAAAGGATGCCTTAATTTTATGACAACTGGCTTGTATCCATTTTATCCAGTTTGTTTGCCTGGAATTGAACCCAGATTGAACTACCAGTATTTAATGAATCTACTGCTTAACTGCTGGTTGACTCTTTTATTATGTATTAAGCATATTAATATACAACTTCTGTAACATCAATGCAAAGTTTAAATTAATCAAAGAAATTTCAGTGAACGAAACCGAATACTTAAGGAATGAATTAAAAATTTTTAAAATAATTTTCCTTTTTTAAAGTAATATCTTTGCTTAATGAGGGGAAAAACTCTCTATTTGTTGGCCACTATTTAAGGAAATAAAGAAAATTAGAAAGTATTCCTTCATACAAAGTACAATGATCATGAACCAGGATGATCTGTTAAGATTTCAGATTTTCATTCCAGACTTTAGATTGAAAATTCTGGCCTTTGTGTTGTACAATTTATTAATTTTTGCATTAAAGGTGATATCAGGCTAAAACATCGCTTTTGTGTCCACATTACGTTTCAAATGTTACTACCGTATGTTTTCATGTATTATTTTTAAAGATATAATAAAGCAAATACAAAAAATGTATGGTAACATTTAAATTTTTATCAAGAAGTCTAAAGATAACTGATACAAAATATTCTTAACTTTCATCCCCCTAGTTTGCTGCCATCTGGCAAAACTTATACTTAATTTTTCTTTTAAAGTTAATTTGCCTGTTATTAATTAACAAACTAATTGATTTAAAAGCAATAAATGCAGTTCTTTATTTCTTTTATTAATTACCAGCTGGAACTGTGAAATTATGCTAGCTGGATTTATTAATAGTACTATATATAAATATATATATTAAGACAAAGAAATTTAGAACCAATTTTTCACAAAGGGCAAAAATTAAAATTCATAAATAATAAATTTCAAATAATCATATAAATTAAAGAAAGAATTTAATAAATGTTAAAACCAAAACTTTTCAAAAAAGCGATATCCCAATTCAAAAATCAATGAAATTTAAAGAAAAAAGAACATAATAAAAGAGGAATTTATATATAATAGTAAATATTTTAGATGGCTGACTATGCCAGCGGCAATTTATTTGGAAAGTGAGACGGACAACGAAAGCGCCTTTGACAAAAAATGAAGGTTTAAGAGCAGAAGTCTTTCTGGGTTAAAAAAAATATATGGCAACACATTACAATGTATCAGAAATTCTAAACATACACCGTTTTTTAAAATTTTGCGATGTTACAGTTGAATTTTATGTGACGTAAATGTAAAGAAAGATATTTAATTTAGTTAATAAAAGTCGTGCCAGCAGGAGTAAGTCCAACAGTAGATAAACTAAAAGCTCACTGACAGACCTGAAAATCATTTCACGGCCAAGGTTTGGTAACATTTGAAATCGAATGGTTTACTGGATGATGCAAAATTTGTTCCGATTATAGACAACAATAAGTTCGTACTTAGTTTCTGTAAAAGACAATGTTTCCATCTTATTTATTCCTCCAAAATGTACGTCCATCATTCAACCAATGGATATCGGAGTTTCACTTGTGCTAAAATGTATGTATAAAGCAGCCTTTTTAAAATCTATGGTAAATCATCTGAACAATTGCAAAAAGATTCAAGATTTTTTTAAATATTTCAACATAAAATCTTCTGTGTACAGCATTGCAAGGCATGGGAGGATGAGTGCACATATATTTTAAAAATGCTTAACATAATTTATTGCCAGCTACCATATTTCATGATGATGATGACAGTCACAGAAATGAAAGCAAAAGGCAAAATGTTCTAATTAATGGAATTTGTAAAAATATGTGGAGTAATAGAAGTTTTGCAATCATCAATCAGTTAAAAAATGGTACAATCTGTAGTACAGTTTTAAATCCAAAAAATATTGTTACCAGTCAAGGCAAGTGGTAGATATTTTGCTAGATATTTTGCCACCTGATACAATCTCTGAAATTCTTAAATTCTGCTACCATATACACACCCATAGATTCTTATTATTAGATACTGCATGTCTTTAAAAACATATTTAGGTACACTCTAATTTCTTTTCTGAATAACATAGGTGTAGCATGCAAGGAGAATGTTTCCTTAAAAATATTATGAAGTATATTAAGATTTTAATCATCAGAAAAGCAATATGTGAGATGGAAAAATTAACAGCACTTTTGAGCTCATAAGAATAGATGAGTTTATGTAAACTATTAAGTCTCATTTTTAAAAGATAGTTTCATTGCTGTTGTCATTAACCAGTATAACTGAAAGACTAAACTAAGACTAATATCATTATATTTTACTTAAACGTTATGATTATGTAATACAAACAATGCACAATGAGTGACATTTTTATTTTCAGCAAGGCATTTCATGTCTCACAAGCTCTTTTAATCCAAAATGTATTTCTCTAGACTTAAAACAAAAATATGAGTTACGATCTTTCTAAAAATAAAAACAAATGGCAAAACTTCCCAAATTTGAAATGTATTATATTATTCACTTCAACAAGTGACATTAGTAGCTCAATGACCACTGCCTATTTCACCTTACTTTTCATATTAATACAAAAAATCATAAAATTAATACAGTAACTTACCAGCAATCATCCAGTACAAGAAACGATACCACGTTGCCTGTGGCAATTTCAGCATCAGATAAAAATTTACAGATATGCTTAACACTGGAACTGTAGGAACCCATGGAACCTAAAACAAAATTACAATTCATTTTTTTTTTTGGATTTATTGTGAACTTAAATTTTGAAAATTTAGAGAAATATAAAATATAATATAAAATATATAGAGAAATATAAAATTTAGAGAAATTTAATAGTTTTTACATGCATTAGAAACATATACTTCAGCCCAAATGTTGAAAATAATTTCTAAAAATCTGCACAATAAAGATTACCGTATTTGACGGCATATAAGACGCAATTTTTTTCCTAAATTTGGTCTAAAAAAGTTACCTGCGTCCTATACATGAAGGTAATTGCATTCAATAATTGTTTATTTGGCTTTTAAGAAACGTGAGAACTAAAAGAAACCATGCTATTGAAACTTTTTTTCCTTGTGTGTGGTCGTCTAAATAAGGGTGCATCTTATATGCCGTCAAACATGGTAATTAAAACATCTTAGATATTAGTACAGTCAAAAGTTGTTAATTCGGACATCCATAATCCGGACCTCAAAGCTACAAACTTTCTACGTGGCGCGTAAGACCTTTACGGCTGCGAATATGCATAATACATTTATGCGTGCACGTTTAATTTATAACGGACAGTATAAGCTAAGCTTAAATTATCTAATTCAGTTAATGATGCAGATTGTGTTGTTCCTTAATCTTCAAATTGGATCTGGCTTATTATTTTTTGAAGACTGTTAGAGCAATTTTATAAAAGTAAGCTTGAACTTTCGATTATGTCAAATAGAATTTCTGATATATAATTACTAATATGTAAAGGATCTACAAAGCGAAACTATGTTTCGAAGTCCGTTAAACAAAAAGTGGAATTGCTGCAAAAAATGGATAAAGTCATATCCTTCGTTTCTCTAACCATTCCGAAATCTGTTTATCAATTTCGCGCTGCTCTGCGGCGGCCGGGGGGGGGGGCTGCTGCGCGCGCAATTAATTGGAAGTTGATTTGTCAGCACAATCCTTATCTTCAGGGCAGATGTTTTTATTTTATTTGGCTAATAATTCCTTACTAAATTAGTATTTCATCTCGATGTACTCCGTTTTTGATATGATTTAAATCAAATTCCTCATCATTATAATTTGCTTCCGATAGTGAAGAAAGTGACACGGAGGTTATTGAAAACGAAAAAAATTTCAATTGACAAATTAGTCGGTATTCTCGACACAGCAATTATAGGACTTAAACAGGGGAACTTTGTAACTGAAGAAGAAATTATGTCTGTTTATAGAATTAAAGAGAAAGTATTATCACATAAAACGAAGCAGCTTAAACAACTTACATTGAAAGAAATGTTTAATAAAGTAAACAAATAAATATTAAGCTTTTTTTTGTAAATTTTGATACACTTTAGATCATAATTGTTCTTTATTTCATAAATTACGGTTTCATATTTTTAATTTTATAATTTCTGCATGCCATCTTACCAGATTTAAACTGATGATCTATAATGTGGAAAAATCGATAATCCGGAATCGCCGAAGTCCTGACGAGTCCGGATTAACGACTTTTGACTGTACTACATCCCAGTAATCCTACTGAAAAGAGTTGTTATCATTGAATGTTGCTACCAAATGGTTCAACAAATACAGAAGGCTGCCTTCATTTGCTACTAGCCTTAAAGACAATACTGTTAAAATGGATGAACACATTCTTGCAGAATTTAATTCCATACGTGAGTTTTCATAGTTTTATTTTTCCATTTTATTTTGTTGCTACCAAAATAATAATAGTGTAAAGACATTAAAAAATATGTCTTCTTGAAGAATGGAATAAAAAGCATGCATTTTCTTTCATAAAACTAAATTTTTCTATCTGATGAAACTAAAATTATTCCAAACTCGCTCTATTATTTATAGCACCACAGTGGTCTTTCACAAAGTTGTTGTTGAAAACTAGTTGAAATTGTTATTTATTTAAGCAGAGCCAAAAATTCGAACACCAACTCTCTAGGAAGACTGTGTGAGGACCTTTCAATAAAAACTACTATACACTTGTCTTCAAATAGGAAAAATTATGAAGGATAAAAAATTCAGCCAGACAGTTTTACTTCTTGGTGCAGTTTACTGCAGTTAAGAGCTTTCTGCAGTTTTAGCCACTTGGTTATTGATAATCTAACTGTGGCTGAAAATGTGACAGTAAACACGCAAGATATAATAGAATGGACAATCCAAGCTTAAATCCTGTAGCAATGGCATAATTGATTATGGAAAAGTATACTAGAATTACTGGCTTAAAGGAAGACACCTTAGAGGCAGACTTTCTAAGAGTAACCCACCCATACTTATACCGCATGTGAGAAAACATTGCCCCATATGGCTAGCACATCTCATTATTGACAATAAAACTTAAACTATGAAAGTTTCACAACATTAGTTTCTCAGCTACTTGTAAGCATTGTGAAACTTTTTTCTTTCCTCATCAGTATCACTGCTTAAAAGTGTAGATGCTGCAGAATATTATCATTACCCTTATGTGCTTTTGGGTTATCTTTTTTCTTCTTTTTATTTATTCAAGGCAGAGGACAAATCAAAAGAGAAAATATTACCCCAGAATCAATCCCCTTAAGACACTTACTTAACCCAACTTAAACACAGAATTGCAGTTTGAAGCAATTAATCACTTATTAATGCATTCCTTATTTTTCACACACAAATCTGAAGACAATTTATTAACTAGTATATAAAAAGTGAATGTGAAGATGCTGCACTTAAAATCTCAAAACCCACCAAAACAAATATATTAATAATCACATATTGAAATCAGTTTTTCTGCCAGTTGTAAAAATTAGTAAATGAAAATCTATTGAAACTTTCTTAGTTATAAAGAGAGATTACATGCTATTATGAGTTCTCAGAAATACAATATTAAACTTCAAAAATTATCATGCATTATATTATTCTCAAAAAGAATATTTTACAATTATTATTATTTATCTAATATATATATAGAATAAAATTTTACCCTAAAGGCGAGTTTCTGTTGATCAGATGGTTGTCGAGCCAGTGCACAGGTAGTAATAATCACTAATATGAGCATCATCAGTGCAGTAGCTGAAGCACCAACATCCAAGTTGAATAACTCATCTTCAAATGTTGCCAAGATAATATCCATCACAGTGACAAATACAACTAGATACAGGCATGGGAAATAGATTATACATTTCATTAACGATGCATTAAAAACAAATACTTTATGGCCGAAATTAAAAACAGCACTTGGGATATATTTTTTAAGGTAAACTTTAATGTAGTCTTTAACACAATAATGTTAAGTAATGTTGTTATTAATTAAAATAAATGCTCAAACTCTCAGGAACCTTGAACATCCTACCACATTTCCCTTCTGATAGCCAACAGGCAGTCCCTTCAAGCTCAACATTTCCATCAGATTTTACTCTGATAACGAACATAAGAGCAGCCAAGACATGTAGACATCCTACATTTTCTGAGCATGTTAGAAATCTTCTAATTAGAAAGTTTATAGCAATTAAAACTTTTGGATAATTATAATTTCATTTTGAAAATCCATTTCTAAATGAAACACAAAAAATTTTACTTTCATAAATATCAACATATTACATCAGTTTGCAATTTTTTAAACCAGTACAAGTTGATTCTTAAGACGTAACTAGATTCAAATAACAATACTTCCTCAATAATTTGAGGAAGTGATGTATGATATATTAGGCTGTTCCTATAATTTCTGCATGCAGCTACTTTGACACATTTATACTAACCTTTGAGGGCCAAACTAGCTCTGTTCATATTCCAGTTATGCACCACAATAGTACAAATGGCTACAGCCTGCATGACAAATTTATGACTGACAGATATCACATGCAATTGGGAAGAAAGAGCTGCTTAATCCTGCAACCACCGAAGTGTTAACTTGCAATCTTATCTCCTATAAATTGTTTTCATCCTTTCCAATTATTATTATTATTTTTTTTTACAATGAATATTTATTCTTTCATACTCCTCAAAGTAAGGACAACCACACGATGCATTCTATTATTTAAAAAAAGGCAACAGTGCTAATGAAACCACAAATAAAAGTTGCATTGTTTATAGGAATATCATACATCTTAAGATAATTCACAATTGGTCTGGGAAGTTCTGAGTTAGCATTTTTGATCTTAAACATAACTGCAATGGCCACTTATCTACTAAACATGCCAGATTTCATGAAGGTCATGGTTGCCAAAAATCTTGAGACATATTGTTTTTAAATTGACAGTTTGCAAGGGAGTATGATGAAAACAATCGCTATGTGCATGAATCCATTTTAAAATTTAAGGAAGCTTGTTCTCTAATTGCCTTGAAAAAAGGAAAAATTATGCAAAGACGTTTAAAATTTTCAGAACCTGGTGCTAAAATACTAGGGAAGAAAATGCAAAACACAAGCAATACTCAAAAAACTTATGTACAGTTCTAAATGTATATTGATGTACTGAATATCTAACAGGAAGAACAAATAAACAGGTTGTATACGCCAAACATTATGAATGTTAACTTGTATAGCACCTGTGAAACTGGCCATCTAGCTAATAAACTAGTATATTTTGGAACTTTTCCGTTTTGCCGGCACAAATGATAAAGTCGCCAATAATGGTACAACTAATGCCAAACTGAATTTCTTCGCTGGTAACCTTTTACACTTCATTTTCAAACCAAGTTGCAGCCATTTCTTATCAGATTGATTGTTTCTTTCAATACTGGCATACAATTACATAGAATGTTTACTAGATAGTTCAATTTTATGCCTCAAGGCCATTCGCGGTAATTCGCGGTTTCACAGGTGCTATACAAGTTAACATTCATAAGTCAATTAGGATGCAATCACACTGCTCACTCGAAGGCAAAAATATAGAAAAGGCAAAATCAAGGGTTAATTTCATCAATTCTAATGAGAATGCACTAGCGAAGTAAAGAACTGTAGTTTTACATATTTTCTTAGTAAGCTATTCGTATGAATTGAAATAATTCTTGCATTTAAATTTGTATTCCAAATTAAGATTTAACTTGAAATTAATGTAGACAATTACTGAGAGAATTAGATTTTTGCAGTGTAGTTTATGTCAGATGAGTTCACTGGGGATCAAGTGATATGAAACAGCGATTCAGGATGTTGTACCATGAAAGCATAGTAAATTCTTAAATTAATGTCTTTATTTATTGGCTTTTTGAAAAATTTTAAACAATATTAAAATGTTTATGCCTTCAAAATAAAAATTTCTTAAAACTAACATTTGTTAATAAGTTCTCCCACCTTACCCTTGTTTTGCCATACTGCATATAAACATACAGTAATTTATACAGCCTATTCATTCAGTACTGTTTTCCTTCAGCAGGATTCATACACATAAGCCCAGTCATATCTCTATGTCTTTATGTGTATACTGTGTGTTGTTGCCAATAAAGTCTGCTTGGCGAGATTTGGGCCAGTGAAACAGAAAGTACCTATTTTTTTTCCTTTTGCCATCGACAGAACAGTTGGTTCACTGGGTCATCAAACTGTTGGATCTCATCGATTGGGGGGGGGGAAGAAAAGAAAACTAGAGCTTAGTGTTATGTCCTGCAAGACTTCACTATGGAAAGTGATAAATACTGAAAGAAGGACTGGAACTAGAAAGAAAAGTGCATGGTGAAGAAACTGCTGTTGAGACTAAGTGGAAGATGTTGATAATGGCTTACTTTGAGTGCTGCAGAAATTCTATTACTTGCAAGGAGGCACTATAGCAGTGTCTAGCACGCATCTACAGTTCTAATTCTTACGAAAAGTTATACAATTAAATTTTAATGAAAGATTCTGTAGATGCTAAATTATCAAGAGCTTTGCAAATTTGCAATACACCACATAGTTATACTAATTCAATACATATTTTAGATACTTTTCATTATGACAGTCTATGCTGGGCACATAAATATAATTACTTCACGCTCTAGATAGAGGTACAGATGTAAAGATGAAACTGGTACAAGTATTTATGCACTACAAATCATAAAACAAGAAAAACTAAAAAAACTGAATTAACAAGAATGTACATGAATGCCTACTGAAGTTATATTATGCAAACACTAAAGGCATGTTATATGTGTGACACTGGAGGAATGAAAATACCAACTGAATAAAAAGGGGGAACACCAGAAAACTTAAGTGCAATTAACTGTGAGCTGGCAAACTATATTTGTTGATTGCACCAATAAATAAAATTCTCCCACCTTACCCTTGTTTTGCCATACTGCATATAAACATACAGTAATTCATACAGCCTATTCATTCTGTACTGTTTTCCTTCAGCAGGATTCATATGCATAAACCCAGTCATATCTGGCATGTCTTTGAAACTATATTACCATTTTTACAACAAGTACATAGCTGAGATGCATTTGCAGGCCATGTCGCCTGCAGGCCACCAGCTCAAGACCACTGACTTAATGACATGCAAATAATATACACAGTACAAATCTGTAATCCGGACGTCCATTATCCGGAATGATCTACAATCCGAACCTCAAAGCCACAAACTTTTTTTTGTATGCTTTACATGCGCGTTTAATGTTTACGCATGAGCGTTTAGCACAAAAAAACGAAGGAACTTGAACAACTTACATTGAAACAAATGTTTAATAAAGTAAATGAATAAATATTAAGCTTTTTTTTTTTTGTAAATTTTGATACACTTTAGATCATAATTGCTCTTTATTTCATAAATTACGGTTTCATATTTTTAATTGCATAATTTCTGCATGCCATCTTACCATATTTAAATTGATGATCTATAATCCGGAAAAACCCTTAATCCGGAATCGCCGAAGTCCCAACGAGTCCGGATTACAGACTTTGTACTGTATTCTCTTTTGTGCTTTTGATCTAAAGGGTAGTTTTAAAAAGTAGAAAATGCCACAATTTAAAAATGAAAAATAACTGAAGTATAACATAAGCAAAGTAATAACACACCTAAAACAACAAGTATCCACATGCTGACTTTTGATGACAGTGCAGTTTGTACTTCTATTCTTTCTATGTTGAAAATCTGTAACAGAACATCTTTACTTGAATAATGCTGAGTAGATGCCAGCATTGTGTTTGTAGATGAAGTGATGGCATTCAGATTTTTCTTAGCCATTCTTTTAATATAGTAAGGACTTTCAGTGACTAGAGAAGCATCTAAACTATCCAAATTCTCTGATCTAGAATAAGAACAACAGTATTAAAACAGTTCATTTTAATTTCAATTAATTATAGAAAAATATAAATTAATTTTGATTTCTTACCCTTCCATGATACTACTTTGTGACGGTATGTGCCCATTTAACATTAAAGGTGCTAATGGAATACGTTCCTCATGGATTTGATACCTGTTAAAAACAGAAAAAATAACCTTTTCCATTTGAATTATACAAATTTAAAAACTTATATCTCCAATTATTAATAATTGTTTCATGAATTAATATACTTTATCAGCAAATTAAATAATTATTAAAAAGACCATGTATAAGTGCTTTTGAAGCAGAACTATGAGGCTACTTCCAATGACAAATTTATGAAGTAAGCTGGGATATTCCCCTGAACTTTTAAGGGCAGCTCATATGCAGACACATGACAACTGGAAAGGCACAGGGGCATGATATATAAATAAGCCAAGAATATATGAATCCAGTAATTTGGGAATTAATGGCCAAATTTTATTCTGACAACTATAAATTTACAAAAATGCATCTAATACAGTCCATAATCCAAACATCCATTATCCGGAATAATCTATAATCTGGACCTCAAAGCTACAAACTTACGCATGGACGTTTAATGCGTGCGTCCACCACGCATGTGCGTAAAGCATTTACCTATGTTCGCTTCCGATAGTGAAGAAAGAGACAGAGAGGTTATTGAAAACGAAAAAATTTCGATTGACAAGTTAGTCGGTATTCTCGACACAGCAATTACAGGACTTGAACAGTGGAACTTTGTAAATGAACAAGAAATTATGTCTGTTTATAGAATTAAAGAGAAAGTATTAGCACAAAAAAACGAACCAACTGAAACAACTTACATTGAAAGAAATGTTTAATAAAGTAAACAAATAAATATTAAGGTTTTTTTTTTTTTTTTTTTTTTTTTTTTGTAAATTTTGATACCCTTTAGATCATAATTGCTCTTTATTTCATAAATTACAGTTTCATATTTTTAATTGTATAATTTCTGCATGCCATCTTACCAGATTTAAATTGATGATCTATAACCGGAAAAACCCCTAATCCGGAATTGCCGAAGTCCCGTCGAGTCCGGATTACGGACTTTGTACTGTAACTTTATAATTATTTTTTGTATTGATTATAAGTTTTACAAATTTATAAAAAACAGGAACTGAAATATCCATTCAATTTTATACTTTAAGTGAATAATAATTAACTTAAAACAACTGAAACTAGTTCGTCTTCTGCACCACTAGAAAGAAGAGGGAAAATTCGCCAACGGATTCGGCAACAGAACCTGTTGGCGAGAATTCCCCCCTCTGTGATGTACCGTACCTAGTAGAGATTTTCCTCCTCCACCACGTGTACAGGAAATTGAGGAATTGAGGAAATTGAGGAATTGAGGAACAGGTTAAGATGAATAAGAAAATTAGGTGAAGTTTCACTTTCACTGGCTGTTGAAATTATCCATATCGCAGTTTGATGTCTGATTTTTATATCCCTCAGTATGGAGGAAAAAAATGGAGTCGCACAGCTTTAAACTCTTGATAAATGTGACCGTCGGAACTTCGACATCAGCTTCAAGCTTTGGCACTTTTTGGTGACAGATGTTTCATGCATGCGCAGCTGTTTCCCTTTTCAATCGAAGAGAGCCACTCCTGCTGCTGTGAAGTTTTCCTTCTTAACAATACATATTCTTTGACTGGTGTGCGTTATCATGAGGAAGGGATACCACTGCTGCCAAAGCACCTTTAGATATATTCATTATAATGTACAAGATGTTAGTCATAATATTTAATGAAAAATCTGATGTGAACACCATGACTTCCTTGTGCAGAATATTAAATTAAATGAATTTTTTGCTGCATTTCATTTAAATTTATTTCCTCGAATTTCATTAGAGATAGATTTCTGATTCAATTAATTCAGTTCATAGTAACACAAAAATGCATAAAACCACAAAATATCTTCATTAAAAATTGAAAAAGATAGAAAAAAAAATAAATTAAACACCGAATACAGTTAAAACAATTAAAAAATTTTTTTACAATTAAAATTAGAGTTTCTATGCAAAAGCAAGCAATTCAGGCAGCAAGCAAGAAGACAGATTTTTCGGTGCACAAAACTGAAAGTTTACTTTTCGTCGCACTCGGTAAAAAAACATTGAAGGTGCAGAAACAGAATTCACTATTCTGTTAAATTTAAAATATGGCTGTTATGGTAAGCAAAAATTAGACTTAGCTGAACTTAAACAACTTTTAAATTGTTGATAATTCTACAACTATCACATGCAGATTAACTAAAGACATAAAAACCTTAACAGGAAGATAAGACTAACATAATTAAATTATTTTTTGCACAATTTACAAACACATAAGAATGAAAAAAAACAAAGCTCACCGAGTAACAGAGTAGGTGCAGCCAATTGCAAATAAAAAATGGAGGTGCACAGCTATACATTATAGCAGTCCTGTATACAAAATTTCAACATTCTGAGGCTACGTGTTTTTCAGTTATGTGAGATACATACATATGTAGGTATATGCATACAGATTTCATGACAAAAATCTCTTCTGAATCCATTTTAAATCAATTTAAAAATCCGTTTGGGGTAAACGAGTCCTTTGTTCTGTTCTTAAGCACAGATGTCAAGCAAAAACATTGTTAAATTACATTCAATAGCGATCAAAATGGATATTTTCATTGAAATATGATACCTAGAATTTTTTGTGATTACAATACTTTCTTTGCTTCATACAAGGAAGTAAAAATGAAGTTGTGAAACCAAATAAGCTTCCTTTAATACCTCCCAATGTAATAATGTAATCCCTCTCTTCTGTATGTACTTATCATTAGTTATTTGCATTTTAATGAAATATATATATTAATAAAATATACATTTTTGTATACAAATATAAATTCTACTTACCGAAGAATTAAAACAGAAAGAGCAACTAAGGAATATGCTAACAAAGTGCCAATAGACATCATGTCAGCTAGCATTTTTACATTAAACATCATTGCCATGACACCTGAAAGAAATAACAGGAAAAAATTAAATATAATTTTGCATAAATTAAAAAACAAAGAAAAAGTTCTAAATACATTAAAAATTAATACCAGCAAAGATTCCTGAGATAAAAGTAGCAATCATAGGTGTCTTGAACTTAGGATGAGTTTTTGCCAAAAATCTGAATATTAGGCCATCATTACCCATTGCATACAATATCCTAGGTAGAGGGAACATACCACCCAAAAGACTGAAAAGTAAAGGGAAATTTTTTTTTTCTCTTCCTGATTACAGATTATACATTTTTAAATATTCAGTTCCAATTTAAAACACACCATACTGAATATCATGACTGCTTTTACAATGCAAGTTAATAGCAAATACATGGAATTTCAGATATAATTCACCCGTCAATAAGCCTTCTAAGGCACAGCTGGAAAAAAATATCTGCCTAATGCCAGGTTCGTATACCTTCATGTAGAAATTAAATATTTTTAAGAACTTTTTGGGTCATCAATGAGAACCTATCAGCAAATGGGAATTAAGTAAATTAAAGCAATTATCTCTGCCTGAAATTTACTTTTGCACCACTGTTCTAAGAATAAAATAGATGTGCAAGTAAGATGCATTATCATTATTAAGCATAATCTAATATTTAACATAATTATAAAACAAATTTGAGAATAAAATTACAGTAGAACTCTAATCATCGGAATCAAATGGGACTGGACTCCATTTGGATAATTGGATTTTTTCTGAAGAAAGGGTCTACATGCACTTTGATTAATTACTGTATGGTGAATATGGGAGAAAAAACTGTTTTTAAAGAAAAAGTTTTTAATTAATTAAAATGAAAAGGCAACACTTTTACATACATGTTATACAGTACAAAGTCCGAAATCCGGACTCGTCGGGACTTCGGCGATTCCTGATTTTGGGATTTTTCCAGATAATATCATCAGTTTAAATCTAGTTTAGATGGCATGTAGAAATTATTAAATTAAAAATATGAAATCGCAATTTATGAAATAATGAAGTATTTATGATCTAAAAAGTATCAAATTTACAAAAAAGCTTATTTGTTTACCTTGTGAAACATTTCTTTCAATGTAAGTTGTTTTAAGTTACTTAGTTTTTCGTGCTAATACTTTCTATTTAATTCTGTAGACAGAGATAATCTCTTGTTTAGTTACATTGTTGAAGTCCAGTAACTGCTGTTTCGATAATTCTGACTAACTTTTCAATCGAAATTTTCTCATTTTCAGTAACTTCTCTGTCACTTTCTTAACTATCGGTAGCGGTATTTTCTGGATCTAGAACCATACTACAGATTTCTCCGTTCATTAATTGATTGATAATTGAGAAGCACTGTCATCACAAAGAAAGACTTCTTTTATATCTTCTTCATTTATTACCGCTTCTCCACATTTCTTTACAAAATCCGTTAACTAGAAAATTTCACCTTTTTTCGTGATATCTGAAAACTTTTAAAATTAGCAGCTGCCATCATCAAATTTAGCTATCCTTTCATCATGAGCTTGGAGACTAACGACAAGTTTCATTAAATTTTATCTTGCTTATATTGTGACTGAGACAAACCTTTAGTTATTTATTATATTTATGTCTATTTCTTGCACATGCTTAAGGCTTATCAGATAAATAAATTCCCACATATACTTAAGTCTTATTGAAAGCTGGCACTAGATATCTAACCGCCTGAAGCAGTCTCTATGGGTCCTAAATTCTGGGACTCGGCACGGCCACACAAGCCCTGGCGCTGGTTCTGAGTTTATGCGAATAACAAATCAGTTACTCTTAATTCCAATAGCCCTAAATGTAATCTTTCAGTCTATGAGTATCATCAACAAAATCAATTTTTAGCATATGGAAAGAAATTTTTGGTAAATTTTTTCCTCGCCAACATTTTTTAGCACATTTTAACTTAAATCTGTAATCATTGTCAAGGGCAATGTCAACATAAAAGAATAAAACATGTAAACATAAACACTCCTTTATTATTAAATTACTAAAATAAAAAAAATTGTTTAGGCATCACTACATGAGTCATTACTCAAGTTATGTTTTGATAAACATGCGATGATGAAAGAAAAGTATAATAAATAATGATTCACCAGGTTGGCATCAGATCAACGATGTATCTGTGGAATGTTTCGGTTTGAGATGCGTGCCAAGCAAATACGCAGCAACAGAGCCAAATTACTGATCGTACAAATTTATGCTAAAATGATTGTTTCTCCAATAACAAAGTATTTTATTTAGCATTGAAGTGAAATTAAGGATCGGGACTCTCCAGATGTTTTATTATGCGCGGAGGGGAAAATTAAACGCGAATGTGTAAAGCCTTTTTTTTTTTTTTTTTTTTTTTTTTTTTGAAATTTTTTTAAAAATTTTGTTGGTGGTTTTGTGGTACAGATTTTAGATCATTCCAGATAATGGGCATCCAGATTTCAGACTTTGTACTGTATAACATACTGTACAGTATTTACAAGTGCTGAAAGCTATTGCTTGCTGCACATTTCAGTCAAAGTGAGCTGTTTGACTGTCTTCAGCCGCTTGACAATAAGTTGCATGTGGTCACACTCGAGTTGATGCTCCATCCACTTCAATGTAGTTTCAAGGCATGCAAATGCTTCACTAGCTGATGGTAAACTGTGTGCTTCAACTTCGACATTAATTCTTCATCTGATTGCACTAAAATTTTAGTTTATTCACTAATGATAACACATCGCCTTTTTTTTAAGAAGCCATGGTGAATGATGAAGGCAACGCACCAACACAAAATAGTTCTGTTACAATACTGTAGCAGGTCATTGACACTGACTGACTAGTAATCAAAATGAACAGTAATAGGTGGGCCCGGCTGGTCACCTGGTGGTGGATGCCAGTACGGTAGCCAATAATAGAACTGCACTATGAGACGGTGACTCATCATCCCAATAATGTTTGTGCTGCACCTACACTAGCTTTACGGAGTTCCCTCCATGAAGCTAGTGTACATTGGACATAGTGGACAATAGCGCACATTGACAAAATCATTATTTTGCGAATCACAGTATGTTTCTGTCTTAATTTTTTTCTTCAATTCTGACAGTGATTCGGATAGTTGGAGTTATACTGTAATTTTATAAAATTTATCAAGTAACTAGCATTGAATTACAAAATTTCTTAAAATATTTATATTTTACACTTATAGTCCGACATATTTTAAACAAGATAACTCACATTTTACTTAAGTATTAATGACTATTAGCTTTATGTTGATTCTTTTATTCCTTGTTTCATCATTCACATACTTAGTTAACTAAATATCATAATAATCATATATTGTACGAGTTCAGTCTCATCCCATTAATCATTAATCTTAATTTAATTAACTTACCTGGTTGATAAACCAGTTAAAGCTCCAATACTTATTACCCATTTGGCAACTGGATAGCCAACCATTTCAAATACATAAGGTAAAGGGGCATCCACAAATTGATCATAATAGGGCCACATTAATGTCTGTATCGTAGAGACACTGAAGTATGCACAGAAAACTATCATTAGTGAACTAACAATAGCTATAGGTATAGATCGCTGGGGATTTTTAGCTTCTTCACCTATAAAAAATAAATTTAAAAAATAAGAAAAATCACTTGAAGGCAATCAAGCAATACGAAATACACTTTCTTAAAAGTCACAGAAAATGTAAAAATAGCATTCAAAATTTTTGAGAAATGTAACAAATTGGGATGATCGAGTTTCTTACTGATAATGCAATGGTACTTCAGTATATATTATTAATTCATTCCAGGCCTTGGACTTATACCAAAAGTACTTTTCCAATACGAAATAAAAGGAAAATAATTAATCTGTTCTTAATAAAAAAACTCTACTGTTATTATCAAAACACTGTTTAATATTAAAATACAAATGTTGTGGATGAAATATATACTGTACATAATGAAATACTATGCATAAATGTTTTTCTGTTATCCAGATCAAAAGCAATTTCTCAACATGCTCTAATGCCTCTGATCTTTGTTTAGTAATCAATTTTACACCTTTTGCAATGTTAGTTACTAGACTCTTTATTTTTCAAAATCATAGATGCTGTCATTCTCAGCATATGATATGTAACAGTTATGTCCCGGTTGCATAAATCATCTTACCGTCATTCTTGGCATATAGTATGCGATAGTTAAGTTGCGGATGCATAACTCGTAAGTCATCAAATAAAGTGATCCTTCTTTTGTCAAGAAGGCAGTGAAACATATATCCTTGGCTTTTTGGAATGAAGGCATTTTTAATTAAGCCTCCTGTAAACAATTTGCCATGATGCAACAGTTCCAGTAGCAGCTATAAGCCCTGAAACTTAACTGCCAAGCAATGGACTTCTATTTATGATGGGATCTTGAGAAGTAGTTGTTATTTATTTGCAACCTTGTTAAACTCTCCTTATAACAGTTACAGAGTTCTGAAATTGTTGCAATAGCATACAGATTCTTTGTCTTGAAATATTCACACATCTCACTGTTTTCCTGATAGTCTGCCTCCTAAATGGCTGACGATTCACTACTTAAGATTCTTTCAAATGACACTTTGGAGCCTAACAAACTCTTTTGAGTCTTTATACACTGAAATAAAATGCTGTTTTGCGGAAATTCACTCCAATATTCACTTTATGGAAAGTTGATTCACCATTCAATGACAATGTTTTGACTTATTAGACATATTAGAAATCAACTGATCACTTTTGATTTAATAATGCTCATTAGGCTTGCCTCATACATTCCCTTCCAAATGGATTACATCAATTGGATATTTTATAAAAATATCATTACTTTTGGGTATGTAGAGATAAATTTAGATATGAGCATTTTTATATCTAAATATTTATGCACAATATTTATGCATATTTATGCACAACAATCTCATCAAAAAGTTATCTTCTCTATTGAAATAATGGGAAAATTTGTTCCATTCACCACTTCTTTTGTTCTGATCAAGCTCTACAATTTCTGCATCAGGCACAAAAACGTCTACTGTACTCGACCTAGTAACAATACTTCAATAAAATTGAACTGATTTCCAATAAAATTGCAATGGGTCAGAATTCTTTTTGTTTCACTTGAGATAAAATTTATAGTGAACATCTTCATTTGTTAAATTGCATATTAAATTATTTCTCTTCACTACAGAATTAATTACATTTAGAACTGTGCAAGGAAACTGTTCTGTAGCACCATATGAAGTGTGTCGAAAAGCAACTAAAACGTGCATTTACTTTATGTCTATGAAAAGATGTACCCAGAGCACATGTATCTGCTTTAGTCCTTAAATTGCTGTGTGGTTAAAATGAAACATCTTTGAAGATTCAATGAAAGAGTAAGCCTAATGTAAAACATTAAAGCCCTTCACAATACCATTGCAAAGTCAAAGCCATTAAATAAGACACCCTGAGCTTACATGTCAGACATCTCTTTACAAATACCAGAATTAGAACTTCATCTTCACTTCTCTTGTTATTTGCAAGAGAGAAACGTACATAAAAATTACATTTTAAAAACTGTTAATTGAATATAATTCACTATATGAGCTTATCGATAATCAGATTTCTTTACACATTAAGTTAATTCACAAACTTAAACGATCGGCACATACTTATTCTAATATACTTATTCTAAATATAAAAAATAATTAGCTAATAATGACTTTGAGAAGATTAATTTTTATAATGACACATACACTACATTTTATCAATCAATGTCTTTTTCTGAAAAAGAAAGTAAAACTGACATATGGATATTAGATATAAACCGCTTCATCCGTATGTCATCAAGTTATATAACTTATTTTTACCCTGTTTTTAAGCTTTGTTGTTTAAGCTTGATAAAGCATTTAAATAGCTAAAGCTTTTAATAAAATGAAGTAAGTTACATTATCAAAACTAACTTCCTTTGTTTATACTAAATAGTATTCAACAACAAAAATTATATATTTTAATATTTTGGTGATGCATTGAAATTACTGTAAGATCCCAAACCTGTTGATGCAATGCAGTCAAATCCAACATATCCATAAAAACATGTTGCTGCTCCAGTCATGACACCATGAAATCCAAATGGGAAGAAGCCTCCTCTTCCATGACCAGCGGGAACTTCACTCGGTTTCAATTTCCAGTTGTGTACATCTGCCTTAAAGCATCCCACAAGTACTGCATATGTAACAATTAAAAGGTTGATGACTGTGCAGACATTATTGAACCTGGTTGATTCTTTAACTCCAAATGCAAGCATCACTTTAAGGAAAGGAGAAACATTTATGTATTAAATAACAAAACAAAAATGTTAAATAGCACTACATATTTTTAGACTTTTAGATTACTAACACAAAATTCATATTCCATACATATTTGTCATACTCAACATTTTACATGTGTTGCTTCACATACATACTTCTAATAGAAACTTAAATAATATATTTTGTAGCTTAGTAATTAATATTAGGCACATTCTTAAGCTACTGATTCACAAACTACAGAAGGTACAGGCAAGTGGGTTATATTTTTTGATATTCTCGTAACATGTGACCTACAGAATCATATCTACAACAATAATGTGACGTATCCAGAATTTGTCTTTGGTTATGAATATGAATCTGTGATACAAAAACCTGATGGTAAATCGGACAAACTGCATTGATCCTGATATAATGCCAAAACTCAAATCATTGAATGTCTATAGGGTCACCTTAAACAAATAATTGTACAGAAGTATGACAGAAGCAACACACATGAAGCAGCCCCATCACCCAACTAGATTGTGATGGCAATCTGTCAACAATGCAGATAAATTTCAGGCCAAAACAGAGCAATATTTGTGTAAATTTAAAGTTGGGATGGTTACGAGTGCTGTTTTAGTAACACTGGAAAGAATGAATGATTAATTTCAATGAGTACATTTAACAACTTATAAGACCGAAAATATCTTGCAGCAAAAATGTCCAGAAATGAATCACAGAAATATTGAGTTCAACACCATGCCAAACACATATATTTTTAGTTACTCATCAGAAACTATACAGTTTGGGTTGAGATTTTTTATGTCTCCACATCCTTCACATAGTCCTGATATTTCCTTATCAAACTACAATTTGCTTCTTGCTCTGTAAAATACCTTCTCAGGTACAATGTTAAATTCTGATAATATCAAATAAAAGATCAGAAGTTCTTTGGAGGTTCTCAAGAAACTGTCTGGAAGATGACAAATCAGTTATGGAAATGATCAATAAATTACTAATTAAAGTTATTTCTTTATGCAAAAATGATACATTACCTTAATAAAATAAAATGAAAGCAGCATCCAGACAAACTAATCAATAAGATAGATTTACCATTTTAATCTCTTTAAAGTCTGAATGGCAGTAAATTACCTATATTTTTGCAAATTTTAGAACTGTTACAGTATTGACAGAAGAGTAGGAAACAATATTTGTCATATTGTTACATATGTTCATTTTTCATTGACTAAACAGCAGGGAGGGGGGTCAATTGCATTCCATTTCAAAATAAACTGGTCTGCAAGATGTAAAATTATATTTAATTTAGAGGAAGAATTCAAACTTCAACCCAATACAAGAGACTGCAAAATCAGACAATGTGGAACACTTATAAACATTACAAAGAATAATAGCATAAAAAAAGATTTCTTTATTAACTTTTCAAAAAGAACAAGACAGTAATAATTAAGAGAAAATGTACTAATTCATAATTTTATACTTTGTTATTCAAGATAACTTTATGAATTTGATATAAAAATGCATACCTGTCAACAAAAGTGTTATACCGAAAGCCAAAAAATCTGGGTAGGATGACAAGTAACTAACATGGATAGGCAAAGTGTGATTTAAATGCCGAGCAATAGTCCCATTAATCAGAGAATCGATATAATCACCATATCCTCTTGCTACTGAAGCAGTACCTAATTTATAAAAAGAGAATTGGTATTCATCAAAACCAGTACACAGACTGATAGCTATGACATAAACATCATTAATATAGTTCTTTAAAAGAAGGAAATGCATAAAACTCTCCCACTAACAGTGACATTAGTAATACAAATTTCATTTCTGCAGTAAAGGCCATAAAAAGGTTAAAAGTTTCAAATTTGTAAAAACTTTCTATAAAACAAATTCATTTAAATAACAAATTCATATCAATCCTTACAGAATACCATATTTATTCTTACAATCATTAACTCACGTGCTTCCATCCTAGTCTTTCCAGCATATAACATAAAAACTTCCAATTTATGGTAACAACATACTATAACATACATGTGGCTTGCAAAGTACATGCTGTCCATAAAATTAACACTATTCACAATAAATGTAACTGGCCTTTTTTTTAAATACGTAGGTTGGGGCAAAAGTCATGGCAACTATTTTTTTTCTTGAAGCTACCAGTCCGGATGTAAAATGTGACATATACAGAAGAAGGGACAAAGTCTTAGCTACATGTGTGGACAATGAATAGCACTGAAATATCATAACACATGAATGTATTACGGTAGTATACAGGGCAATATGGCCTTCACGGTGCAAAAGAATGATAACACAATAGACATAAAGTTGACATGACAAACCTGGGCCTAAAGACCCTCAATGTAGTCCCCTACTACTGTCACCACACGCTGCCGACGATATGGGAGACGCTGAACATCATCAGCCTCAGCATCTGCCACACCATGTGTGAATCAGGTCATCTGTTAGCACACAGCATTAGAAATGTCCTCTCGTGTTTCAAACAGCCTACCATGCTTCCTTAATCTTGGGAATGGATCAAAGTCACAAGGCGAAATGTCAGGAGAGTACGGTGGGTGCTCCAATTCTTCCCATCCCCAACATCGGAGCAGCTGCCGTACACACTCTGCTTTATGTGGTCTTGTACTGTCATGCAGAATTACTGTACTGTCCAAAAGATCCGGACGTTTATCCCGCATGCCATGTCGTACCTGTTGCATCAGGAAGTCCCTGTGGTACTGTGCGGTCACTGTTCTGCCATGAGGAACAAAGTGGCAAACAATGACACCCCTAACATCATATGTGAGGATCACCATCAATTTGACTGGGGAAGGATTCTGTCGGACCTTCTGCTGCCTTGGTGATGCAGGATGTCACCACTCCGCGAACTGATGTTTCAGTTCTGGTTCGTATGCTCTTGCCCAAAATTCATCGATGGCGATTATTTGTGACAAGAATTGATCGCCGTCCTGTTGCCAGCATACAAAGTGATCGAAGCATTTTGCATAGCGCACCAACCTTTGAACTTCCATCAGTGCATGCGGTACCCACCGCGAAGCGATTTTGCATAGCTGTAGCTCATTACATAATATCCTGTGGACGGTGCGTTTTCTCGTGCCACTAGCCCTCCTTCTAACTCCAGTAACATCCATCGTCGTCTTTCCATCCATGAGGTGCTTGATGATCGCACGGCCCAAGTCGGTCCCACACTCACCGGTCGTCCCGACGTGCTCATCACGGTTGACAACATCCTGTTAAACTTTTCCTACCCACTTGTACAATATGGTAGGGCAATTATTCCCAAGAGCTTCTAGTAATTCACTGTGACATTCCATCGATTTCTCCCTCGGAGAAGGCGATTATGATGTAACACGCTGCTCAAAAACGGGTACTTCACTTTTGCACAACACTCACCCAACTGACTGATTTCAGCCCTCTACCACAGGCCAGCTATCACAGAGCCATCTGTTGCCTGCATACATACTATGCCTGAGAACTTCCAGTGACACATATACGTTTTGTGATCTGTTCCCATCTCTACAAGAAAAAAATAGTTGCCATGACTTTTGCCCCAACCCTCGTATATAATACATTAATATATACGTTCTCACATTTTTTTCAATCTGCTAAGTTTTTCCTTTAATCTTATTCTGAGAAATGATGCATCTTACGTAATTTTTCACTCTCAATATTTAAGAAGTAAAATTATCAAAAAGAGGAGAAATATGCATATAAATATAATATTCTACAGTCAAAAGTCGTTAATCCGGACACCCATAATCCAAAATGATAAAATGATCTATAATCCGGACCTCAAAGCTACAAACTTTCTGTGCATGCATCAACGCATAATGCGTTCACGCATGTGCGTAATACTTTTATGCATGCGCATATGCGTGTGTGCATGCAGGTTTAATGTATAACGGACAGTATAAGCTAAGCTTAAATATCTAATTCAGTTAATGTTGCAGATTGCGTTGTTCCTTAATCTTCGAATTGGATCCGGCTTATTATTTTTTGAAGACTGTTGAGCAATTTATAAAAGTAAGCTTGAACTTTCGATTATGTCAATAGAATTCCGATATATATTTACTAATATGTAAAGGATTTACAAAGCGAATATGTTTTATGACCATCAAACAAAAAGTGGAATTGCTGCAAAAAATGGATAAAGGCATACCTTTTTCTCTAAATTTCCAAATCTTTTATCAATTTAACGCTGCTTGCCGGGGGGGGGGATTCACGGCGTGCAATGAACTGGAAGTGATCTGTCAGGCTATCCTTTTTTCAGGGCAGATGTTTTTTTTTATTCGCTTATAATTCCTGACTAAATGTAGTATCTCATCTCGTGTATTCCGTCTTTGATATGATTTAAACAAATTCTTGCCTTATAATATCACCTTACCCATCAAATGGTTTCTGGTTGCAATTTTCTAATTTTGACTATGCGTAATGTATTGCTTATGCGTGCACGTTGAAAGAAATGTTTAATAAAGTAAAGAATAAATATAAGCTTTTTTTTTGGTGATTTTGATACGCTTAGATCATAATTGCTCTTATTTCATAAATTCGGTTTCATATTTTAATTTCATAATTTCTGCATGCCATCTTACCAGATTTAAACTGATGATCGATAATCCGGAATCGCCGAAGTCCCGCCGAGTCCGGATTAAAGACTTTTGACTGTATTATTATAAATAACATAATTACACAGAAAAACCAGATACTTTATTTAGAAAATCTGGTAATGATATAATATATGATCTACCACTTTTAGGTGGTTATTTCTTAGATGGTGTCTTACAAACTAAAAGTGGTAGATTGCATACTACATCATTATCAAAGACTTTTCTAGGGAAACTGAGTAAATATATGAATCAGTAACACAATCTGGCATAACCATAGCATGAATAAGAAGTAAAAAACAAGAATATCCATAACATGAATAAAATGTAAAAAAAAAATTCTCCTTATCAGTTTAAGAGGGGGAAAATCCTGTGGTTATTTTAAAATTTTCTATACATTTTACCATCATCTATGGCTATCATAATGTATTCAGACAAGGCTGCATATTCAAAAGAGCATAAAAAATAAAGTTAAGACAAATGCCATATCTGGCTTTAATTTTAAGACAATACAGTACTATAAAATTTTTAGTTCTTGAAAAGAAAATTTTGGTTAGACCAATGTTCAAAGATAAAAGGGAATTTCATATTTAAAAGCAAATAAAAATTCAATGCAAAAGGAGTCAAAATGTCTTTGAACTGCATTTCGATTGGAACAGTTTTAAAATATACGGTATGACAAAGCAAGAAAAAGTAATTTCAGACACTAAACAGCCAAAATTTATTTCATATGCATCCCTACCATTTATACCTTGATAAATTTCAGAGTTTATTTAAAAGTAATGAATGTCTTTTTTGGATTCGATTATGACTAAGCACTTCAGAACTACCTGGATAAAGGGAGTAAAGACTTTGAAAGAAACTGGTTCATATTTGTATTAGACACAAGGAAACTGGTTTTTCTGGCGAGAGCAAGAAAATGTAGTTGCATAATTTTGAAAATGCAGTTCATTTCCAGGCTTGTTCAGTTATGATTTTACATATATAAACATGTGCAGTGAAGCTTTATAAATTGAGCAAAAAATAGAGACTCACTTATGTTGTTAATCATGGTACTTCACTACAATTTTTTCATTAAATTTCATTAAAGCTTTTACCTGTTAAGTATTTTATGTTATTAATCCGACTTACAGTTTTCATGCCTGTATTAGGTAAAGATATATGAAACAACTTTCATATATCTAAGGCTAACAAACATGCACATATACTGAAATTAAACTTCTCACTAATATTTACAACTGCTTTAGATGTAAATACGCAATTTCGGAAAATATTATCAATCTATTACACTTACCTATCACATACTCCAAAACAAGGTTCCAACCAATGACAAAAGCCATGAACTCTCCCACAGTAACATAACTATACACATAGGCAGATCCAGCTTTTGGTACTCTTGCTCCAAATTCAGCATAACAAAGTGCTAAAAGTAGATAAAGTTTAAAAGAAGGCATAACGTAGCATAGAAGATTCAGTTTAAAAACATGGAAGGAGGCAAGCAGAAAGATAGCTAGTCAAGTTATAAGGTACTTCTCCTGCCTTCTTAGCAGGCCTTTGTGGTGTAGTGGTCAGCACGCTCGACGCTTATTCAAGAGGTCCGTGGTTTGAGTCTCGGCAGGGGAATTGCTCAGAAGGTGGGAGAAATATAAGTTGCATATAAAAAAACTTTTCAGATCAAATTTCATTTAGTTATACTAAAAATATTAAACCTTTATGGCATAACATGACCAAGAATGTTCTGTAATCAAAAGGAAACTGAAACAGTTGAATAAAGTAAGATGTTCTGGCTTACTCTGATATATTATAAAATTAGAAGCAATTCCTCCCCCAAAATACACATTTTCAAGTTTATACCCAGGTTTGAAGAAGACCACATTATGTTGTGCATGTGCTGCATACATATGTGTTGCAAATGTAAAACACAGAATAAATACGCACCATTTATTATGAATGTACAAAATTTATGTTAACCCCATATATACCTCAAAAACTCTTAAATCACCATACGAAACCCTTTATATTTTCATAAAGTATTTGAAATATCTATTTTACATGACGAAAAGACGAAAAATAATAACTTTAGTTTGCAAAAGAACATTGGACCAAGGAAAAGAGGCACACAGACCTAGCTAAGGAGCCATACACAGTTAAACACCCCAACCCTTGGAGATGATCCAAGGGGGAAACCCCTGATCCATCCTGGGGAACAGAAAATCACAGAGTTTCAGCATTATTACAATGCTTTATAACTATTGTACACAAGTCAAGGGGTCTGTTCTCCAGTGCTAACCAGAGGGTGCCAATCTCCCCCTTCCCGGACAACCTTGTAAATCAAACCATGTAGCATTCACACAACCAGAAGGCAGACAAGACAGTACCATGTTGTCCCTGCTAAGCCTGAACTTACCACCAAATACACAATGGTTCTAGTCCTGTGAAGACTGATTATTTACCCTAGAAGTTCTCTCTTGAGGTTGGAAGGACCCAATTTCCGAAACCAGCCATTTTATGGGAAGACACCCAGAGTTTGATTTGGACCGTCAGAGAGTGAGTATAGCTATAAAAGCAGTGACGTGCACCATATAGCCTCTCCTGTCCCTATCTGACATAGGCCTCCTCATGGCTCCCACTGGTAACCAGGTTCGCCTGGTCTGACTATGTCTGGATGGTATCCCTGGGGATCAACTGGGATTGACCATTCCAGTGTAATGGCTATATCAATATCTAGACAGTATCCACTTCTGGGGTAAATCATCAGTCTTCAAAGGACTAGAACCACTGTTTATTCAGTGGTAGGCTCAGCAGGGACCATATGGTACTGTCTTGTCTAACCCCTGGTTGTGAGGACATTACATGGTTTGATTTACAAAGTTGTCCTGGAAGGATTGGCTTCCCCTGGTCAGCACTGGGGCACAGGCCCCTTCACTTGCATTTTCTTTGTACAGCTGGGATAAAGCACGGTAATAATGCCCAGACTTGGTGATTTTCTGTTCCCCTGGGTTGATCAGGAGGGGGTTGGTCCCCTTGGATCACCTCTAATAGTTAGGATGTTTAACTGCGCATGGCTCCTTAGCTTGGTCTGGTTGCTTCTTCTTGGTCCAATGGCAAAAGAAAAACATACACTGAAGAACCAAAACATTATGACCACTTGCTCAATAATTCATCATGCAACCTTTGCCCTGCAAAACAGCTGCAACTCACCTCGGCATGGATGCCACAAAATCTTAGTAGATGACTGGAGACGGGTTGTACAAAATATCTAAGCAGCACTCTAGCAAAGTCAAGATATTCCAGCATGGTGGTGTTTGAACTCTCAGCTGCTGTTTTACGACACCCCAAATGTGCTCTATTTGGTTAAAATTCAGTTAGGTGCGCCAGGACATTAACTGGAATTCATCCTTATACTTCTCAAACCTTTCCAATGCAATTCAAGCCTTGTGACATGGGGCATTGTTCTGTTGGAAGATTCTATTCCCAGTTGGGAAGATAGATGCCATGTAAGGGTGCATCTGATCCACAGTTATGTTCAGATTAATCCACAGCTTTCATGGTTTGTTCTAGCACAACTAAGAGTCCTAGGAACATCCACGAGAACAACCCCCAAAGCATAATACTGCCACTACCAGACTCTGTATAACCTGCTATATGGAAGGGGGGGAGCAACTGCTTGCCAGTAAGACGACATACCCTACCATGACCATCAATTTGATGAATGAGAAATCATGATTCATCCAACTCATCTTCCACTTATCCATGGTCTAGTCTCGATGTTTCCGTGCTCACTGCAGGTGTAGTTAACAAAGGCATATAAGTGGGATGTCTGCTGTGCAGTCCCATATCCTACAGTGCCCACCAAACTGTCCATTTCAAAACACTTGTACTTAGATCTGCACTGTATTGAGCTGTCAGCTAAGCTACTCTCTGGTGCCGCTTTTGCTGTACCAAGCGGGCCAGTCTCCAAAGTCCTTTTCCTTTGATGACATATAGACGACCAACACCTTGGTATCTACTGCTGGTTTCAACATCATTTATCCACTTTGAATCAATATTAACAACAGCAGATTGTAAATAACCTACTAGTCATGAAGTTCCAAGTCTTCGGGCCATTACAATCTGCTCTCTATCAAATTCACTTAGATCAGCAGCCTTTCGCAATCCTTTGCAAATATAAATGCAAGAATGATGCCTTACCTTCTACAGCATCAATTAAATACCATTCCCACTTAATCGCATGCTCTCCATGACATCCAGATGAGTTCATTGAAAAATATGGGGATGGTCATAATGTTTTGGCTAGTCAATGTAGATATAGAAGATTTCAGAGTAATAAAATTAGAATGGCAATTTAAAAAAAAAATAAGTTGTAGGAAACAAGGCCCCCCCCTACAATACAAATTTGAATCTTACCTTCAGAAATCATGAAGTTCTTGTAATTACACTCATAGTGATTAAAAAAAGTTTCTGTATAGAAGTTGTATGGCAGCATGGCAAGCCATTTTAATAAACTGCTGTAAGAATGAAAGCAGTTACTTCATTGATGAAAGAGTTAAGGATGCTGTACTCATCAAAATCCTTATTGACAGCATAGTAAAGTACAGTACAGTCCTTTTTAGAACATCGAATTGAAACAGATATCCTTTCAAGACATTAGTGAGTAAATATAGGGAGAAACATACAGCAAAAGATCTAGACTTCAACGTGGTAGCTCTTAGATCTTGCACCTTAAATTTCTTTCTATGACACTAACATAAAGTGCATTTTCACATGAGACATTTCATGATTTTATGTCAACTGCACATCTCAACCATTTAAGTACACAACAATATTATGGTTTATTACATTGTGGTACTAATTTTATGGAGAGAAAAACATGTATAGTCAGAACACTGTACATGTAACAAATATGACCCGTGCTATCAAATTAAAGTTGACAATCATGCAATTTTTAAAGTGGTAATATAATATGTAAAATATAAAACTAAATAAACAACTATATTTTAAACAGATATATTATAAACAGATAATAAACATATATATATTAAATGAAATATCAATTTACTAACGTTTCAGCACTAAAAATATAATTATGAAATGAATTACTAAATAATTTTTAGGTGACAAGTACTCCTACTTTAAAACATGAAGAAAAATAAATGAAACATCACATAAAAAATGCATACCACTATTTCGTTTTGGAGAATTTTAAAAATTGCAAACTTACGTAAGCATGCACTTGGCTTTTTACTGCATTATTTGGTTATCACTGTATCGAATTATATGGTTGAATGTGCATTGTATTGTATTATATTGATTAGTGACTTTGAATAACTAGCATAGATGATATTTTAATGATAAGGCCACATTATGAATCACTAATCTGAAAGCAGTGATTAAGATTTCTTAATCCAGTTTCTTTTACCAACTGACTGGATCTCAAAAACACAAAATTTAAAACAAAAACCATGCTTTCAGAATCAGCAAACAAAATTCTAAAATTGTGTGTAATTCAGATAATTACATACCAGCAAATACAGAAGCAACGGCAGCTATGAAATATGATAAAGCAACAGCAGGGCCGGCAGTTTCACTGGCTATTTGTCCTATTAAAATATAAATTCCAAGTCCTAATGTACTTCCAACACCTGTGAAAATAGAGGGATATTACTTCTATCATTATTATTTCCTGCATTTAACATTACTTTTTCAGAATAAATTTTAATTTTGCTAAGCTTGAATTTCCATATTTTTTATACATGTACAAACGATGTAACACTCAGCAAACTGAAGACAGTTTTTCATTTTATTATATGGCATACACATTCTTCACATACTGAAAGAAGTCAATGGAATGAAACAGTTATTAGTTGAATAGTATTAAAAAAATGACACAGTTAACTTATTTCTTAATATAGGGTCACAAGTTATTAAAATAATGGAAGAAAGTACTTCTATTTCCTAAAATGAAGCAAATCAGAAAGAATACATATTCAACATATAAAATTTTTTAAGACCTAAAGGGTGAAGATCAAACTAAAAAAAAAAAAAAAAAAAGCTATTTCAAGTTAAAATAAAAATATTACCTTACTTGTATAAAATTCTAAGATTAAAAGAGCGAAAAGAAAAAAAGATCATTTTTAAACTTTACTTCAACCTAATCAAATCAATTATACCAGTCTTTCTATAAATGCATGGTGATTACAATTAAGCTTTGGTCTATACTCTAATTGTAACCAGTTAGCAGGTTGATGCCAAAATAAGTAATGATGTAAAATGCAATCTAAAAAGACAGTTATTTATTTTTGGATGAGATACTAATACTTAAAAGTTTTTAGATGGTTAATAATTTTTTTTAGATGAGGCAGAAAGTATTAATACTTAGCTGAATCATACTGGGGGACTCTGAAGCTAAAGATTTCATACAAAGAGCAGATTATCACACCACAAATTTTGTGATATCAAATTCTTTTTTGTTATGATGAAAATCCATAACTGATGACAAATTTTTGGCCATGCTGTACAATATTCGCAATGTATATGGCTAAACAGCTCATAAAAATAGGCCTTTTAAGGACTATTCTTGCTTTTGTTTTGTGAATTGGAAGGAATTTGAATTGAAGGAAATTAAAAATTTAATAGGTTATTAAATTAATTAATGGAATCATTTTATTTATATATTCTTAATTATTTACATTTATTTTCATATTTGAAAAAATTTCATATTTGGTGGCAGCATCCAAGAAATAACTAACTAAAGTGATAGATCACTGTGCCATTACCCAAAATGAAAAAAACCACTCTATTCAAATGATGCAGAAAATGATTTTGCAAGAAAAAGCATTAATTAAAAAAGCTATGCTAAGGAATGCTTTCATTTAAAATACAAAAAAAAAAAAAAAAAAAGGGACCTATTAAATAAATGCAGTAAAACAAACTAAAAAACTTTTAAGCATTTATTATAGCATTACAAGCATTACAAATGAAATTAGAGAAATAGATATTACTGAATTCTTCATGGGGGGAAGGAAACACCTAATGACCTGCATAAGCAAATTTTATCAGTTCTGTCTGCGCAGATAAATCAGAGAAAAAATTATAAAGTAAATGACAAGACCTTATTCGCAAGACATTTTAAATAATCTTGCACATGGTTTAAGGAACATTCATGTTTCCCAAAAAATATGTGAATATTTACCACAGTCTGATGCAAATTCACCTTTTCCATTTACTTTTATGCCATTTCTCTACAAGAAAGTTACTGCTTATCAGCTTATGAAACTGTACCAATAACACTATAGATTATTTAGCACTAATAGATGTTATCATGGTTTAAAGAATTTTTTAGTGTCTAAATTATTAAATTTCAAGACAAAAATAAATCTTTATAAAACTCTTATTCACTTAACCTATCATATTGTATGATACTGAATGTTGGCCATTAACATAACAGTCTTTATTTTTGAAAAAAAAATACTGCAAAAAATATATGACCCAATTAGAGAAAATAACAGATGGAGAATTTTTCTTAACCATGAAATATATAGAAGATACAAACAACTTAATATTATCCGAGTCATCAAATCTTATCATATTGGGTAGCTTGGACATATTTTTAGATGTGACAGCTTGAACCGTTAAAAAGATTACCTTTGCAAATGTGGAGGATACCAGGAAAAGACCTGACACAAGATGAGTATGCCCTGTGGAGGCAGATCTCAGGACTTTAGAAATCAATCATTGAGGGACCATAGCAACTAATTGGATCCATTGGAGGAAACTTGTTGATACGGCCTTGATCTATGATAGGCTGTAGTGCAAGTAACACTGCCCAACAACTATCAATTTCATGCAAAATGAATTACATGTTGGATACTGCATATAATAGATTTTGTATGCACAATTTCAAAATAAGCATGCCTTAGTCTTTCATTTCCACTGCCAAGCTACCACATTCACCAGATCTCAATCCTTTTGATTTTGGGCTGTATGGTGAATTAAATGTTTAATACAGAAGGGTTGGAACTTTGGATAATGAAGAAGCATATCCAACTACATAAAAGCAAATCATTGCTTGTACTAATTTCAAATCGCATGCAACAGATTCTTTAGTATGTTCTGTACAGATAAAATTGGTATTTGAATTACGTGTATAATATAAGTATGTACTGCTGCTTTGGTAAATCAGATTCTGCTAATCAGATAAGTACATTTAAGTACTTAAAGCTTTTTCTGATAAGTAAATTTTCTTTGCATAAAGTGTTTCTAGGGACATAAGGATTTTTTGAAGGAGGAGACATGAAAAATGAGCAATGCCCTCGCCCGGATTTGAGGTTATTTTTGATGTAGGAAACAAAAAAAAAATTAGCATTGGCCTTGCCGAATGCGAGCCTGGACCTCTTGAATACATGCCAAGTGTCTAACCATAACGAAGGCTCGCAGAAAAGAGAAAGAAAATACCTTATAACTTCGGAAACACCTATACAAATTTTGCAAAGCAAAAAATATCACGATTTGTTTATACAACCCACTGGAGCTTATAATACTGCATAAAAAATACATACAAAAATAGTGACACTGTTTGTCTGATGGATTGTTATGAGCATGGTTCCCTGAAGAATGATTGTATGCATGGCTGCCAGAGTTTGCCACATTCTGAAAATTTAAAGACTTCTGTGAAGACAGTTGCAATAACAAGGAAGTACTAAGGTTGCTTTTTAAAATTTATAAAATTTTTTGGTTGATCTTTACATTATGGTAACTTGGTGATTTTTTGGCAAAAATTTGGCGACCAACTCTCCTACAGCAACCCTCTATTTTTTTCCCCGCCGCCATTTTGTCTCCACGAAGTAAAGACATGTTTTTTTTTTATCTCCTGACACTTCTTCCACATCACTAGCAGAATTACACTTATGCTAGAAATTTTATGAAAAAAACTGCTTAATATGAAATATTCACTGCAAAAATTAGGAAAAACTGCACATACCATCCTCCTTACGAATTTTTAAAATACACATACACATAAACCATGTACATGCCGACTTATTTTTACTAAAAAAACATCCCAGAATTGACAAAAACGGCATTGCGCACACTCTTCACTATATCCATGACACTGCTTTTTCATAAATCAAAAAATTTCACAAAAATACATGACAATGTTCTCAATCTTTAAACCCGGTAAAAAGAACATATGAAATTACATGATCGCGAAAAAGTATTTACCCTTTACAAACATGAACATTTCCACATATAAAATAAATAAAAATACCAACTTTACCTCTAAATCATTATTACATTATACACGGCACCGAACCATACATGCATTACAAATATTTAGTATCAAATATTTAAATATTCATGCACGTTATTTCACTTAAACGTATTACCAAATTCCTACAAGCATAATACACAAATAACTATCATTTCATAAATATCACGAACCAGTACACGTCGACTTTTTTTACTTAAAAAACATCCCAAATTGCACAAAAATGGCATTGCGCACACTCTTCACTATTATATCCGTACTGCTTTTTCTCTAAATTAAAAAAATTTCACGAAAAACATGACAATTTCTCAATCTTTAAACAGGTAAAAAAACATATATGAAATTACATGATGCGAAAAAGTAGTTACCCTTTCCAATATGAACATTTCCACATATAAAATAAATAAAATATCCAAAACTTTTACCAAAATCTATTACATTATACCCTCACCAACGAATTCATACATGAAGCATTACAAATATTTATAAATATTTAAATTATTTCCATGCACTTATTTCAACTAAACGTATACCAAATTCCTACAAGCAAAAATTCACAAATACTATCATTTCATTAAAAATAATTAAATTCAAAAACACTACTAAAATATAAATGAGCACATACATTAAATTAATAAAATACGACAAAATTACTTTAAACTAAAATCATTGCTAAAACAATTTTCCCAATAATACCAATTCCTTTCCACCTTACATTTATAACAAGGCATAAAAATATATCCTCAAATAATTAAAAAACTAACTTACCTAATCTTCTTCAGAATCTTGATTAAGGCGGATACCACTTTTCTTCTTCTGTATCAGAATCTTAAAATATACTTAAAAGCAAGATCCAGGTAAAGAAAACATAATAAAACACTTTATTCTCTCTCGCTTAAACATTTCTATCCTTTTCAATACCCTAAATACCCATTTCGAATCACTTTAATTACGGCCATGGGATCCCAAAATTCACAAACACGATTCACACAAACAGAATAAAGCCAAACAAAATTCCCGATTTTTCCCGAGTAAAGAACAGAATCGTCGTTAATGCACATGGACATATCCCATATCTCTCATTTCCCTCACACAAAATATGCGTAATCAGACTGAATACTATTCATTCTTAACAAGTCTAACTGACCTATTTCTCCAAAGCTTCCTTACATGGGGATTCACTTTTATTAGGATTCAATAAAATTACGAACGATTTTTTTTCCGAATTTGATAGAATTTGATAAAAAAAAAATTCTCTTTATACATCTAAATTCCAAACACGCCATACAATCCCAATTATTAACCCTAATTCACACAACACACAAGAAGCTTAATACAAATATATACATCCACAGACTTGTCAAATCCCCCCGTCCGATTAAAGAACCGTTATTCGTCCATAATATCACAGACATATCCCATGATCTCTCATTTCCCCCACACAAAATGCGTATCGGAACTGAGTACTGCTCACATATTACCAAAGTCCCAGGTAGTAACCTTTATCGCCTCCAAAATGTCGCCAAACTACCAGTTACCATATTGTAAAGATCAACCAATTTTTTAGTTTCTCTACACAAGCTTAAGTTCAAATTTCTGTACTTAAGAAGTATTTTCTAGTTCCATAAATTCTGGGAAGAATTTCTGACTATAACACGCACTTTAAACAGCAATTTGTACTAATTTGAGATAGCAATGTTTAAGTATATTTCTATTTTAAAGAGGAGGGAAAATTACATAGTGAATATGAAACTGTATGGAACTTTGGGGTTGATATTAAAGATTTTTTTCTTTTACAATAAAGCCTAAATATTTAATTCTTAAACTTAATTTTCAGTCTATCAGTGATAAAATGGATAAGAACACCAGATTCTGATAATCTTACTGCAGTCACTAATTCATTCCACATTCATCCCATACCAACCACACTAGCTGCAATGAATTTGGTGGTTCTTAAGTGTACCAGCACTAGGTGGTTTTTCTGAAACATTCTCAACGACAGCATCCTCCCTCAGAGAGATAACCTTTAAGGTCTTTATATCAATACCAAATATATTTTACAGCAATATTTTAATCAGTACTCATCTGTTATCAGAACTGGATCCAGAAATGTATGTATGGATGGATGTGTTCATGTATATATGTAAGAATGAATATATACATATACACATATATGCACATACATACACAGGAACATGCATTTCTGAACCTCTCGATAACAGTACCTTTTAATCAAATTAACAATGAAAGTATAAATAAACAACTAGCATAAACATAACATGAATATAAATATCAAGCAGCAAATATTTATAAAGTACTGAACAAGAATGAAAAAAAAATTAATGGGTCCGTTATAGAAAATTATTAAGATAAAACACTTTTATTTTAAAACTTACGACTAAAAGAAAATTAAAACTTTAAAAATCTGCATTATATAATGCAGAACTTCAAACTGAATAAACAAATATCTTATATGATTATGTGATGTTAAATGTTGCTAAATATCATATTACTCTACAGCAGGGATTGTCAACCTTTTTTTCTCCGTACACCCTTTTTACCATTGCTAGACAATCACTGCCTTTCCCATTAGAAACTTAAAAAAATACACATATATTTATTTAAATTTAAGATTAATTTTTAATGTGCTGTGTGAATTAAAATAGAAAAAGCACAGAAAATATTGATAACTAAATATATTAATTAATTAATATAATTATTTCAAACCTTGAATAAAAATAATTTTTTATATTCACAAAATAAAACTAAATACTTAAGAGATAAATAAAAGGCTGAATACATCCACCTGAAATTATGAAATCCCCCCCTTGGTTGAGAACCTTTGCACTACAACAAAACTTTTGCTAAAGTTGGTAAGGTTGATCTTTACAATAACATTATCAAAAACCAGGCCTCTAAGACAAATAAATGGTATTAAATTTTTAAAGGCAGCTGCTTAGACTTCATCTTAAAAATAAATATTTTCACAGCTTACATTAGAGAATGTGCCAGTACAATAATACATACATATATTTTCAAAATATCAACACAAATATATTTTACATTAATTAAGGTTTTTGATTAATTAAGCATTTCAGTAAATTTATGAAAATATTTCCTTATTCCTGAATTTCACTTTAATAAAGGAATGAGGCAATTAAAATAAATTCTACGTAAAATTTACCTAAAAATGTAAGATCCCACGTTGATAGGCACCGGTTTAGCTCAGTTTTTTGCAGATTATCATCAGGAACAAATTTTTTCCGAGACAAAGCTTTACATGCAGTAGCTATACGCAATGGCATGGCTGATGGTATTAAGTACAGTTTCCTTTAAATTAATCGTAATTTTCTTCATACATATGTCTGTAAAAAAATTTTAATTGTTACTTGATAAAGTTTTTAAAACACTTTTTAAACGAAAACTATACACAATTAATATTTACAGTCAACCAAAGTTCAAAATGAAACGACAAAAGTTATCCAAAATCTCTTAACGAACTACTAAAAATATGCCAACTAAGAAATTAAATAAGAAAGTCATTTTTTATAGAAGTATGATATTTTACATTATGGCAAAATAAGCAAATTCAGCTCTGTACGTATCACGAAACTAAAACACACCTGTCAAAAAACATCTGTGTGTTTCTCTTTTCACTTCACTTAACTGAATGGTAAAACGAAAACCAACAAAGCAACAAACTGCAAAACCAAACAAAGATTCTTTGGTAAAATAGATTTGTATATACATGTGCACGAGTAAAGGTAAAACTTTAAAATATTGACATGAACTTATCTTACTAATTACTGCAAATTCAATAAATTTCGGAATATATGTCATAAGAAATACAGAGAAAGACAGACAGACAGACAAAGTAGACAGATGTCTTGTTTTGCACCCGCTAAGTCTTTCTGCACCGATGGGCGAAAGATCAAGCATAGGTGCGAAGGAAGGATATAGAAAGAGGCAATTTCGTATTTGATGAGAGTAAAAAGGAACTTCGTACATCTTGTACGAGTTCAAAAGGCCAGGAAGAAGATGGGACAAATAAATTTAAAATAAATAGCCCAAAAATAATAGAAGGAAAAAAAAAAAAGGCCTATAGAAGAAAAGGAAAAGAGTAGAAATATCCGAAATACGATTGTGTCCATAGTGTAGTTAAAAGGAGAAGAAACTGTCTTCATTTACAATAAATAGTGTCTCCAGTGGTTTTGTGTAGTGAGTGTGTTTGGTAATGGTGACTGTTACTGGGAAAAAAAAATATTGCGGTGTAAAATGCTTCGTATCAAGGTAATTTAGATGGAATATAAAGTAATATGTACGCTTGCATCCTGAGATATCAACAAAGGTCTCAAACAAAAGTATATTAATTTAACCAAAGTAACTTATGCTACTTCATTCTCAACATTTTCATACATTTTCAAAGCAACAGCAGGACTAACAACATAACCATATACAATACAAGACCACAACGTACACCCAAATAATAAATAAATAAATCAATAATAAAATAATATATAATATATATTGTGTGTTGTTGTGTGTGTAATTACGAGTATTGTATTAAAACACAAATTAACACCATTATTAATTTTCTACATAATTGTTACAAGTTCAAATTGTTATTTTACATCATATTTATTACTATTTAAATAATTTAATATAACACAATGAGGACACACTGTTATTTATAAAGCTATAGTTCTAAAAATTCCGTAAGGGTGAAGAAAACCCTCCCTTACATAGGACATTTAACATAGCAAACAGTATGAAAAAATCGGTGAGGTAATATTTAAGGCGAACCATATTCAAGCGATCTAGAAAGAAAAGAGAATCCAGAAATCGAGAGGGAAATAGCGCGATGCCCAAATCCCTCTCATCCCCCATCCCCATTTTTCCCTCTCGAGATTCCTTAAGGGCTTTGTAAGTGTTGACAGACGTGAACTGATAACGCTGGCGTCTGTTTCGAGTTATACACAAGGGAAGCCACAAGCAATGGCAATTCAAGTATTTTTTAATGCTTTCAAACTGATGAAAATTAAGATTATTGATTTAAAGGCACTTATTATAGAAATTGATTTAGTTTAGATGAAAGAAAAGTACTTCTAAAATTCCAGGCTTTGGAGTATATCCTTACATTGTCCGCTGTTTTATTCTCGTCAACACGGACCCGAAATTCATGGAATGATATAGGTTTTGTAGGGAAAAATACGTTTCAAGAAATTTAATTGATATCATCAAGAGAAAGGAAAATTGCCATTTTTACGGAGCGCAGCGATCGTGCTGCCGCTTGCCTCGGTGATCACACAGCCCTTCGACAGACAAAGTATAATATTTGATGTATTTTTCAATACAGAGAAAACAAAAAGCTAATATTTCGGAACTAAGGCGGTTAGGAACCAATAATTATTTAAAAGAAAGGAAGTCCATGATATTGAAAAAGAGGCACCGCCTAAAGATTCAATTCACATAATTTTCATAGAATTACAAAATACGAAAAAAAGAAAAAGAAAAAAGAAAAAAAAAATTCTCACAAAGAGTTATGTTATACTATGTTACGTCACGAAGCTCTCCTGTGCGGTTGGATGACGTCTAAAACTACATCACTTCCTATTTTGAAGGAATGCAGCTGTGCTAAAGGATTCAGTAAAAATGGAATACTTTTTGTTATCTAAAGCTTTAAATTCTTCAACTGCACATATTTATTAAGTTATGTCGTTACTTTACTAGATAAAAACAAACAACAAAGTAAAATATCTTTTGAAGTTTGTTTTTATTTGGGCATGTGTGTCATCAGTTCCTTCCACTTATCATGGCTTTCATTTCTCATCACTCTAAAGATTACAGCATATGGAACCCCCCTTAAAAAAAAATTCTGATTCCAAGAAAAAACAACCATTTTAAGCAAAAGAACACATCAGTTTAGTTTCTATCATATCGCCCTAAACTTTCTTTACTTTATTCTTCCTATTAAGAATTAATCCGAAAATCCTTTTTAACCTTCTTGGATGCCTATTAGCACATGTTTAAAATACATTTAAAAGTAACCAGTTCAAAAATATTAGGGAATAATATTATATATAAGGCAAAAAGCGTTATAATCAAGAGTTTCATGCAAAAATGGTAAGTCTAAAATTGTGGTATGGCCGTGAAGTATTTTAATTCGGCACTTAATTCCAGGCATTGCTTCGAGAAGTTCTCGAACAAATTTCAACTCAGTCAAATTTTACAATGAAATGTTAATACTATAAAAGTTAATGGAAAAACGTTTCTGATTGTCCAATGGTTTAATAAATTAAACAAAATCACAGAATAAATTTTACAGTTTATTTCTCCGAATGAATATATAAACAGAAGTCAGGAAAACATTTAAGAAGCTAACGTTTACTTCTCTATTGCATTGTGAATATCGAGTGTAAAGATTACAACCATTCTTCCATATATCTTGCTAACAAATCTAGCTCAAATTTGCTTTAAACTTTTTAAAAAATATTCCATAACCGGGAAGGTTGCTGAAATACTTTTTGTCGTATAGATTGACAACAGCTCCATTTTAAACAACTTCTTGAAAGAAACTTCTTCTTTTTAGTTCTTTGATTTTGTGGCTTGGCATAATACAAATTGCAATTTAATAAGAGAAATATTTGTTATAAATTTCGTGCGCAAGCGATTCAGTGAAAGAAACGGAAAAACGTCATCAATATATTTTTCTTTATTAAATAAATGCCCATATCTCAAAAATGTGTTCATTTACAATGAACCAATATCATTACATTCACCCTCCCATTTACCTTAGCCCTTTTGAATAAGTCTTTGAAATATAAAATTGTATGTGTACTATATGTATCTTCAGAACTAATTCTTAAATTAGCTGTCCTATCGTAACTGCTTAGATCAAAATTGTTTCGGGCGCTAAACATAAATTTTCATACCAAGATCAGATTGCAATTTCTCTTTAAGCTTATAGTTTTTAAATATGCATATATTTTGAACTGTTTGAAACTTTACTGTGCAACTCTTGGATATGTTTGGAGTCAAATCTGAAGTTCTGAGAATGCAATCCTCCTCCCTCCCTCCCTCCTGTCATTGATTCTGAAGACGAGATGAGATATGAATGAAATGTAAAAATTAACAGCTGGAACAGTCCTTGCCATGTCAATAAAACATTATCTCACCTCAAGGAGTGTGTTAATGATCAAAA